CGGGAGGGGGGGGCAGATATCAACTCTTCCAGTAGAGACATCAAAACAAAACCAAAGTTGCTGATTACAGACAATATTTACAGTGAAGATAAACAAGGCTCTCACTATTTACTAAGTTCTCTCTTACCTCAAACATGCCAGAGGTACCACTGGGGTACTGATGAACACCTAACTGACCTTACCCTCAACACACTAAAGCGCAGAAATAGTACCCTCTTTTTTTTTTTTTTACAAAAGGGAAACTGAGGTACGATCCGCTTCACCGCATATTTGTTAATTGTAGTTTTCATGATATTTTATCTAGCTCTTTAGATAATCTTTATCAGCAGGAGTAATCTACAGTGTTTATTCATCACACAGCTCATTCCTATTCACCACCATGCACCCTTACCAAAAGCCACAAAGTTTTGATGGGAAACCTTGACACTGTCTCCACCCTAGTATTACAGCACAACTATCTTCTCAGGAGTACATGGAATAACAGCTCCATCTTGTAAAGAGAGCAAACTAAGAAGTTATTTGCTCCTTCCAATGAATTAACAGCCAAATTCTAAAATTCCTTATGTGACACTTTTGCTCTCAAGAGCCTTCAAATATGAAGCTCTGCTCATTAGAGGTCTACACTGTGAAATTAATACTTTACGCAAATATTACAGGAACACAGAGAGCTCTGTACTTGAGTAGGCTGAAACTGGCCTGCCAAAGATGGCAAAGATCCCCCTGGGCTGCTCTACCAACATACACAAGGAAATGATGGAAGATGAACAGGGAAGCTTGCAGAAGTGACCTTGCAAGGCACACCTTATTATATTTGGAGAAGATTTCAAATAAGGAGGTTAAATTCCCATTAACGAAGCAGAACTACGCCGGAAAGGTGCAACACACAGTTACTGCTAAGTCTGTCTGTACCACTGACAAGGTCTTAACAGAAAGCTCTTGTAGCCATGAACATCATTTCTCTGAAATGAGATTCTCCCATTTCTCCTCTGGAGAAGTGCAAGAAACTAAATGGCAGCACCTCATGAAGCAGGCTCTGAGGCTGTCAACATCTGGGCTTAACTACCCTTTTATTGAAAAGAGGCATCCAACAACAGACTCTTCCAATAGGGATATTCAACTGTAACACACACTGTATGACTACGCATCTCCAAACACCACCACAGAAACTAAGAGAACCTGAGGAGCTGAACAGCTCATCCATTCAGGCAAAACAAGCTAGAATAATCCTCTTATTTGGGCCAAAAATGCTGAACGAGAAAGTTCACTTGTCAACTGCCTATTTGATGCCATACACAGCAGAATGGTATTTAAAAGGCTATTTAAAATAAACTGTCCAGACCTTCTTGAACAGGAGATGGAAAAACCAGACTGTTTTAGTGTTGTGACTAATTGCTACTGCTGCTTAGGAAAGCTTTTTCATTTAGAACAACTGCACTGATCCAGTAACGTTAAAGCTAAATCAACCCAGATACCACAACTGATGGAAAGTGATGGAAAGGGCTTGACTATCCAAATTGACCTCAAGTAGGAAAAGTATAAAGACACAGGTAGGAGAACTGAAAATAGCTCACCTTCTTGTCTCTGGTCCTTACTTCCCCATAGAAATCTAGGGCTTCTTGAGCCTTTAAAAACTTGCCTCGATGCAACAAATATGCACATATCATTACACCAGTTCGTCCCTTTCCAGCTTTACAGTGGATTGCTGCAACATGATTGTCATCTTCACTTAGCCATTGGTCAAGATCTTCACAAAAAGGTTTGATAAGCTCTAGCTGTGGTGGGTTATGGTCTTCAAAAGGGTACTGTGCAACTGCAATGAGAAGAAGTAATTTATCAAAACCTCAAAAGGAAATTACAGCAAGCTCAACTAGACAGGTCAACTTTGTGACAAGCATGCAAAAGATTAACTTTCTAAATAACCCCCCGTCTTACACATAGATACATAGATTTTTTTTTTATTCCAGTATTATTCAGCAATGTACTGCATATTATATGCATTGCAGACATTTCTCTAGTAATACATAACCAAGCATCCTGCTACATAGAGACTATTTCACACCGCTACTGAAATGAGTGGCACAGACTCTGTATCTTGCATCACAAAGTTTCTAGAATTTAAGAGTGCATTGGCACAAAGAATAACCTTGTGAAAACCCATTACTCTACCAATAATTAGACTACCTGCTGAGAGAAAACAGAGCCAGACCTCAGTCACTGATCAGACAATAGGAATTTTGATGAAAGATTCTGAGCACAGTTGGGACTATGTTGGGAACAAACTCTCAGAATTTGCTCAAAGGGGTTTTGAAACAAAAATCTGCAATTTCCATATTAAGAAATGGTAATAGAAAAAAAACCCTCATGTAAGGCACTTGCAATACTGAAGTATTTAAGTGGTTTTAAAGTCAAACCACTGAACGAAGTTGTCCTTTTTCTTATACGGATATATACATGCACACAAACACTTTTTTCCATGTAGAGATGGAAAGAATTTTAAGTGAGCATGCAGGAAATGAAAGAAAACTCAAGAGAGCAAAAAATAAGCAATAAGAAGAGACAAGCACCCAAACCTCTCACACGTTGGATAAGATGACAGACAATGCCATGCTGACTGCCAGAATTACATAGGGTTGTACTAGTTTCATTAGGAGAACAGCACTTTATAAAGCGCACTCCAATTTGCGATCGGCAGACTTGGGATCTTACATATATAAGTCTGGTTCATTTAGAAATTCTCAGCTAGAAACACCATTTCTTTTTCTGGTCTAAAGATGAAAAAATTTTATTTTTTACCAAGTGTTTGTATTCGTTTTGTAAGTACTACTCTCTTGTCACACACGTAAGGCTCCTTTTGATGAATCCCCAAGGACTTAAAAGAGCAGAAGTGAGGGATGTAGTTATGGAACTGCTAAATTACTGCAGCACAAGTCCAAAGTCTTTCGGAAGGATCCGCAAGGACAGTTTATTCACTCACAGTACAGACCGCCCACTTAATCTCCTAGAATATCAAGTAGGGAAACCCGATAAAGTGAATAATCTTTGCTAAAGAAGCAGTAAAGGTTAACAAACATGTACATACACTAATAAATTCTTCCACATGGAAGATCCAAAGACTCCCCAAACAATCGTTTTATGTGAACTTACAGGGATGTCACTTTTTGCAGCAGATGTAAATGAAAGGAGGAATTTATTTAGAAACCCCTACGAAAAGAAGCTGTTAGGAGATGCTGAGAATTTGTTCGTACAACTTTGAGTCTATCTTAACTACATCCAATAAGGTTCCTGTAAAAAGGAGAGACAAAGTAGTCCTGAAAAAACAGCCTGAAAAATCCCAAGTAGTAACAGCATGCTGAAGATGCTCTCCGAGATCTGGGATCAAAGGCAAACCTTGCGGTATTTTCGTCAAAGATGGAATGAGGAGCAGATGAAATGGGTGCCCTGTGATGGTGCAGAGGGATTAAGAGTCAGAAAGCAACCTTAGGAAACGTTGAGCTCCACAATCTTGAGCTTAGAGGGCGCAGGTCCTCCATAGATTTTGATTCCTAACACTGGAGCACACAGCATGGAGAACGGTTTTGATTACTCTCTCCAAGCTCCTAGATGTTGCAAGAAAAATCCCATAGCACATAAAGGGGCAAAAAAAAAAAAAAAAAAAAAAGGAAAGTCTGTGGCAAAGCAGAAGGCAATTTCCAGCATGGAAGTACTTCAGAAACTGCAAAAACCCTAGACAGAAAGCTAGCATCCAAAGAAGATGAAGAGCTTTCAACATTTGGTTTTGAATTTGATGCAAGAGCATCCAAGTTCAATTCTGAACTACTATGGTGTTTCATGCTAAGTGTACAAATGAGAAGATCCCTTTGAAATTAATTCACTTCAGAAGATTTTGAAGTGGAACTGTTGTTCCTCTGCTAAGGGAAGTCCCAAGTCACGAATTTAGTTAACTAACTTGGGGATGGAAAAAAAAATAAAAAGCAACATGTAGGTCCCCATAACAGTGCTGCCTTATGCAGAGGAACTGTGAAAGGTGCTGTCACAAACAACATTTTGGGCTGGGATTGACAGCAAAGGGATCTGAGCACCCCCGTAATAGAAAGCATAAATTAAAGCAAGCATATGTTCTGGACATATTAGAAGCACGTCCTTTTCATTTACACCTTTTCTCCTCTTACCCAAAGTATTGCTCAAGCAGATCTTAACATACTTTTTTTCTGGCTTGTATATATTGAGTGAGGTTTCAGGACATTGTCATTCAGCATTGTAAGAGCAAATCAGAAACAAAGATGACTTCAAAATGAAAATTTCAGTCCTTCTATATTCAGACATTAAAGCAGCCAATTACATTTTGGTCATGATCTAAACCACCTCTTTACAACTAGAGGGATGGTTTAAAAAAAAAAAAAAAATAAAGAAGTTGAGCCCTTGCTATGATGTAGTATTAGCCAGTAAGGCCAAAATCTATTCATCTCCTACAATTACGTACCCACAAGTACTCCTTATCTACCCAACCATTCTGAAACACTGCATGAAGAATAACAAGCTCTACTACTGTGCAGAGAGATGTTTCCCTGCACAAAGAATAAAGGTAAATCTGTATTTATTTATTTATTTATTTATTACCTGGGGAGTTAATACTGACAAAACAGGTACATCAGCTTCCACTTACCAAGGGTCTGATCAACACGAGCCCCTAGAAGTTTCCCCACTGCTTCCAGTAACTCTGCAAAGTGTCTAAGACCCAACTCATCTCAAAGAGGCATCATGTGGGAATTATTTTTTGTTTTTGAAAGCAACTGAAAGTTTGTTCCAGATCTTCAAAAAGTTGTTCTATATGAACAGTGACAGTGGCTTAAGTGCTCTCCATTTTTATTCTAAGTAATGCCTTTGCATAAAAAACAGACTTCTCTAAGCTTCACATCTAAATTTTACAGTAAGTTTGCAACCTGAATTGAACAGAAACTTCTATTTAACCCATTCTGCAAAAATTTTTGCAACAGTAGACTTCTGATTGCCTTATTAGATCTTGATCTAGTTAACTGCCAGAAACATACTTTTTTGAAAGCATCAAAAATATAGCAAGTTTCTCCAATGACTCAAAGCAATCCGACATCCTTCCTTGTGCCCAAATCTCCTACATTACTATTCATCAGCTCCTCCTTTATACCTTTATCCAGAAACACTGAAGTTTAAAGAGAAGAACACATACTAGACAGTCAAAACGTACCTCTGCAGTTAAATTTGGCGGTGTCATAATGTCTTTCAGCACATCTAAAAAGGAAAAACAGACAAGTGTTCAAGATAAGTCTCTGAGGCACTCCCAACATCTGTCACACCCTGGAACATACAGATCAACATATGGGAAAATCATGTATACACACCACCTTTGTGATTTAGAACTATAGCTAGAGAACTATAGTACAGAAAAACTGTTTTGTTGCAGATGTATAAAGTTGCTCACTAAAATATCAGTTATTTTCCTGAAAAACAATCACTTACCCGATGGTAACCGTGGTCCATTGGCATGTTTTAGTCTTTGTCACTCTCAATGGAGACATTCATGCAAGTGATACAATACACTATGACTTTTTTACGCTGTAATATTAACAGCTCCAGCCGCTCAAGCAACTTTACGCTCCCATGTAAACACATAAAGAGTAGATGGCTATGACCTTCATCCAATTGACTCTGAACTCAAAACACGTGTCAAGATGCCTCAACAACAACATGGGTGCTAGGGGTGATGGGGATCACAAGGACATTTCAAAGACCTAGCACAACCTAAGCAAGCATTCTTCTTCAATTACAGGAACGCAACAAGGCCACCACAGGCAACTGAAAGCACCACTAAATATTAGAATGGGGATCGCTTGTATCAAGCAGAGATTGTGATACTGCTCTCCAACTTGGCATTTGTTCTTGAAATTAGGTGAACTCAAAAAAAACAAAAGGCCAGTCAGCCAGTTTTCCACTCACAGACCCTGGAAAACGGCACATTTCTGAAGACTTTGGAGCTGCATCAATGTCTACCTCACCACTCTGGAAGAGACACACTCTAGCTAGCTGGTAGCACAGCAAATCATACTGTACCAGTCTTGCAGGATGACTTGCCTAGTGACAAATGTCGGTAAGCAGATATAAACAATCCAATCAGTAGGGCTCTAATACAGCCAAAATGGCATGCTGTAAGGGAAAAAGCTAGGTCAGGGGTAAGGGGAAAGAAGGCAAGAAGTGGATGCCCTCCATAATTTTCCATGGAGTTGCTCTCTGCAGGAAAAACGGTGCTCCTCTACACAATGCAAGTGAAAATTCAGTTCAGAAAAGAAAACAAGAACAAACCTGCCTCGAAAGAACAGGACTCCAGGTTAAAACACAATGATTGGGAGTCATTTCAGTAGACAAAACACATCTAGATCTTCTGTTCTGATTATAAACTGTACTAGGGTTCAAATACCCACATCAGTTTCAGGACTGCTATGAACTTATCTTTCCTTAGTAGGTATGTTATGACTGCAGCCTTTGGAGCCATATGGAGCTTACTTGACACTTTCAGACACGCAAACTGACGCTCCTACTTGTATGACTGTTGCACATAACTGGAGCCTCGCATGCGCTGCACTGAGCTTCGTCCACAAGACTCATACACCAGGGACAGAGGCAGGTCTGCTGGGGCTGCACATGCACTCAGCACTCCCCCTTCTCTGAATTCCAGAGCCTTCTCGACTCTAGCCTCTGCTAGGTAGAAGTCTGGCAGTTTTTACAGCTCTGAACACATTGCTGACACTTTCTCTGGGTCAGAAGTGATATGGTGCAAGTTGAGCTGGCGGATGGGACTCAAAAAAAAAACCCCAATATCTGCACTCGAGCTTTTCAGAAGAAAGGTTAGATGCAGTAGGTACACCCAAGATGGAGTCAGCACACATGGAGCAGCACCGCCCATGCTGGGCAAAGCCTGTTAGAAGCTAGTCAGCATCTGAACTTGGGAGGTTGAGCCTGCTAGGAAGCAAAGCAGTTAACAAAAAGCATCTTGTCCAAGAAGTTTCCTTCTTCCTTTTAAAGAAACACCCAGTTCAAAGGGGTAGTAACAGATTAAAGTCTTCAAAACATAAAAAAAAAAAAAATCCACATATGGGCAAAAAAGCCTTCAAATTTTGAAGTTTGAGAGAGTATCAAGTAGAATACCATAAGGGATAAAAAAATAGTTTTGTTGATACCAAGGATAGAAACTGAGCACAGAACATAGCCATGTCACTCTTTATGCCCTCTTATGGGAGCTGTACACAACACAGGGCAAATGCAGAGCTCCAGACACGGCTGCACAAAATATACTCCCATTTCATTACATGAAACATGTGTATCTGCAGCAGAGATCCCACCGACACACACTTTTGGGGGATGCTTCCACTGCGTAGCATTTCAAAGGCATTTTTTTTTTAAACACTATTAGACCTGTAACACAGTTAGATCTCCAGATGAACCTGAGCATTTTGGGGAGTTTTGGGGGGATGGGGAGTGGGTTATCATAGTTCTTGTAATCCTCCTTACGATTAAAGTGAGTTTAAAACAACCCAGATCCTAAGTGCTGCCAGCCAGGCACCTTTCTGATCATAACCATGATCCCATTGACAACAGGACTATAGGCTAACGAAAAGATGGCAGCCTATGTCAAAGCCCAACCCCATGAACACAGAGGTACAGAAATTACGCACATAAAATTGACATTGTTCATTATAGCTCCCTCCTTTAACTATCTGCCTGTAGGACAGTTAAAAAAATATACTGGAGAAGATGGAGATGATTACAATAGGCCAGGTAACAATTTGGCAGTATGTGAAGTCAGGAGACGAAAGTGGAAGAACATGTTAAAATAAAGAAGAATACTGAAGAAATAGCAAAGGGTTAAAGAAACACATGAGAAAACCAACACAAACAAGAAACAAAATGAAATTGATTCCTCAAACATTCACTGGGAAGTTAAAAGCCAAGATGTGAGGACAAGGCATAACTGACATCATTTAAGCATCAGTTCAGAAAAATTTCTCTAAATCCTTTTAAATAAAACAGCTCAACACACATATTATCAAATTCATGTAACAGCTACCTTAAGGGAACTCAAACCCCATGACAGTGTTTGAAATAATTCTGAATATAATCACATAACTCCTCTGAACTCCCACCTCCTTCTTTTAAATGCAGACAATAGGTTGATTATTTACAAAGGATCAGCTTAATCTAAAGAGATGCTGTTCTCCGAAATACCTGAAGGTTGTAATTTCTCCCCATCTCATGACCGAACATGGCAGTAATTCACCTAATGGCATTTATGTACTTAACGTGTGTATAAATTTTGCCCACGTAAAGATAAAGAGATAACCTGGCCTCTCTAGCCAGAGATATACAGTTTAAAAGCTATGCTTTCCAAGCTGTGCAGTAATCACTTGAATCTTCATTTGCATCTGATCCATGTTTTGGGAGGAAGAAAACACGGGCACTTTAAAGGGACATCTTCTGCTGCAAAAGTTTTCATCTGAGGGTGAATATAGTAATTTTAGGAAGTTTCACTTGCGACTGTTTTGAAGTTAGCAACAAGAAAAATTGATGGGGGTTTCTTGCACCAAAAACTGAAATGTAAAGTTTTTATATGAAGAACTGGAAGACAAAAACTTTCGGCACACCTGGACAAGTTCTTTGCACAGTTGAAAACACGTGTATCAGCAATGTAAATGTCAAAAGCATTTGTCTCATCACAGCTCTTCTCACTCCTGTGTAGGGCTGGGGATTGGTTTTTGCTTTTTTCTAAAGTAAAATGAGGTTGCTAGCATATAGCAAAGTGGAAACTTTTCAAGCACCAACTCCCTGAGGAGCTACTTGCTAAGACGCACAGAAGTCTTACTAAACTCTTACTTTCTGACCAAGCCTAGAAGCCAACACACAACAATCTATTGTTTTACCTATCACCTCTCAAGCCAATTTGAAACAAGCTCAGTATCAGGTGGCTCAGCAAACCCTGATCTTGTATGTGATACCAGAGCCACACTTCACAGAAGCTGACAGCTGAACTCAGCCCCAGGAAGCAGGAGGAAATTAAGTTATATCTGTCCTGTTCTGCTTTGCTCCCCAAACCAAGCAGAAGCTCTCAGGAGTCTTCAGGGGGGAGTCTAATAAAACCACAGTAGTTAAGATTTTACATGATACAGCTCTCTAGTGCGGAGCTCCAGAAGACTTCAAAGGAAGACATCCAGAAAGTTACCTCTTTAGAGAGCTGCATCTACATGCAGAAGGAGCTATCAGCTATTCTAGGAAGCACTGTTCTTTCCACCCGTAAGTGCCACCAAGACAGCATTTATTAAAAGGCTAACATTCTGGAGAGCTTCTAAGCTGAAGAAAATAATTTTGTTACTGAACTGTATGACAGGTGTCCAATTAGTTTATTTTAATGCATATTTTATTTACATATCTTTGTCTGTCCCATCGTACCACAGGCTTTACAGACAACTTCAATTATTAGTATAGAATTTCTCAGCTTCTAGTATTACTTTGCTCCAAAACCAGGAAACAGAGTTGCTTCATGCATAATCCTTCAACTAATTTAGAGGCATATTTAAAACTTATTTTTAATGACTGACAGACGACAATGTAATGCATTGCCTGAATTTCCACACTACAGTAACTTTTCTATTAATTGCAGATATCTAGAAACATATTTGTTTAAAAAAAATAAAGCCTTAACAGCTCAGAGAATCAATAAATCTTCAACTCGGATTTCTGGGAAAAAATGAGGGGTAGGAAAACCAGGACCTACTTTTCAACATCAGCTGACATGACCAAATCATTTATACAAATGAAATTAGCCAAAGCTAAACATATAAAGATGATCAAGGAATAACAACAACAACAACAAATCCCTTCTGTAACAAGAACAGCTTTCTGCATAACTAAATTTTCAGAGGAAAACATTACACTTACAAAAGTGAGAAACCATCACATTACCAATTGCTGCAATAGCTTTTTCAAAGTAATAAACAGTGACAGTCAAGAATAGTGAAGAAGCAAACAGAACCTGGGTACCAATACCATTCAATAAAAAAAATAAAAAATTAAAAAAAACCAGGAAAATATTCATTTGGCAATTTCTTCAGTGCAGACATTAATACATTAACAGAAAGCCTGCTGTGAATTACTTTTCACTTTTTAATCACATGGTACAAGCTCCAGATGGGCTAGATGCCAAGTCATTTAAAAGCGTTCAAGTAATATGAATACACACCAGCATTTCATTTAACCTCACTCAGCTCCACTAAATGAAGTAACAGTGCTCTCAATCAGGCTTAATTGTTTTAAGAAATGTGCAAAACATCTCTAGCTCTGCTTCAGCACAGCAACAAGCCACTTTCACTCATAAGCTATTTTTAGAACTCATTATTTTGGAAAATACATCTATAAGAGCATACTTACAGATTGTATATCTTGTAATGGTTTTTATGCTTTGAATCCAAAAACCTTAAATAGAAAAAAAAGGCATGTATTAATAAACATTGCAATAATGGTGACCTTAATTTGCAGCATCATTAAAGCACCATTCAGCATGTGCAGTTCTGTATTCCAAGTCCCAGCTGGCCCTGCAATGCCTCAAAGTCAAGGAGGCAGCGTGTTGCAAACCTCACTCATACAAATAACCCAGTAGTATGAATAAGACTACTTATGCAACTGAGGAGACCAGAATCTGACCTGCAACTGAAATACTTATTGTATGGACCAATCTGCACTGATTTCTAAGATACCTGCACATCAATATATTATGCTGAGGAAGGGTTGTTTATTTTTAAAGCAGAAAGCATTGATTACACAAGGTATCTGTAAACACTTCCAATTTTATCATCTGTGCAAAATATTTTGCCACAGTGGTATTTCCAATGAAAAAAAGCATTTAAAATAACTTTCGTATTCCAGTTAGAACAGCCAGAATAATTTATTTTAATATTAGGTTTTTAAAATGGCCATTATTTGCCACTGAAATCTGAGGACAGTGCCCGATGATATTCTGGGTTCAGAAAGGAGGAAGAAGACCACTATACTTTTTCACACTCACACTCATTTAATTTTCATGCTCACTTTGTAACAAAAACTTCCCATACAAGCCTCGGAGAGCCAAACTGCAAACATGATTCATCAAAATTGCCGTGATTATATATGATGTGTCACCTGGCAATGTTCAAGAAGAAATAACATACAAATGTTTACACTTAACATCATCAACAGTGTGTATCCGCACATCAGCCAGAAGGAATTTAATTAGCCATGACAGAACATGCTGTTCAAATTGAAAAGAAACACTAGCTGCTAAAATCCTGGAAAGCTCAAGCAAAAACAAGCTTTGGTTATCAGTCATAATATTCCAGAAGAACCTAGAAGAACTCTGTGGTTAAACCAATGCGTTAAAATAAGAACAGATGTGAATGCTCCTTGTGCAGCATTGAGTACAAGATTCCAATTTCATCGGCAAAAATATTTCATGACTCCCACTGGCAACCCTGTTGGCAGACTTTGACAGATTAAGGAAGATGGTGGACATGGTGATTTGTTTCAGATGTCCCCGCTTGTTTAAAACACACTGGAGAGCAAGGAGAGCTGACTCCACTTCTGCCAGCAATATCCACAAAGCCAAGTATAAGCTTTCATGCAAGTATTTTTCTAAGGACACAATCCCATCCAAAACTTCTCAAAGCATCAGTCACAGGAGACAGCCAGCAGTCCAGGTCGTCTTCTCATACAGTATTAGCATGAAATTTGTCAGGATATCAGCTATTCAGAAAAAGCCCGCTGGCATATCCTGGCTCAACACCAGTTGCTCCAGAGCTCAAACATGTTGAATTTCTGCATAAAAAGCTCTTGGAAAAAAATTCCACAATAAAAAGATGACAGGAGCAGATGAGGACCTGCTGATTGCAACATGCAGAATGCTGCATGGTCACACTTTGTACATTATTCTTGTTTAAAAATAGGGGGCAACAAACATAACACTGCTTTAGCATCCAGTTCCCTACAGCCACTTAATTTACATCTCTCCATATCTTAATTTGGTTGATTACGCTTTTAGGTGATCACCACTCCTTTTGATCAGAGTGGTGGACAACTTAATAATTATATAGTCATTCCTTTTCAAAAGTGTAATTTACACATATCTACATACTTAAATAATAAAATATATTTTCCTTCATACAGAAGCAACTGAAATCAACGTTGTGAATGGAAGAGGGCCTTCAAAGACTACTGCCTATTATTATTTATTTGGATTACTCCCATGTCATTTATGCCAAGTCCAGCCTTTGCCTCTATCCTACAATTTCCAAAGGTGGCATCCATCAGGCACCACATATTTCACAAAGCAGATGCAATGCCCACATCAACTTAATGAAAGGTGGCTCTGCCTGCTGGTAAAGAAAGATGGCTAGATAGTTCAAGTTTGTGAGACAGCCTTCAACCGTCCCAAAAGGACAGCAAAATCTTTTTCTTGTGTGCAAGCTATGTGCAATGATACGATTAGAAAACACAATTTCATGCCTCCTAACAATTCTAGCAGAAATGTACACACTCTGCAAGAGTATTTACAGATTGCTATGCTGAACCTCACCGATATGACCAGCTCTGGAAAAGCGACTTCTCCTCATTACAGCGTGACAGAACAAGGTCACTTCCGCAAGCCTGGTCAAATCCAGCCTCTGACATTTTCAGTACTATTCGTGGATAGCGAGCTTTGTCACTACGGTTAAATATGCAAAAACAACCCCCCCCCTCAAACTCATCTGAAGCTAACTGCAGCTGCACAGGGAAGTCACTGCCTCCAGATGATTGATTCTCAGCTGAGGGTTACAATTCCTCCCAGTGTGGGAACCGAGGAGCTGCCTCAACTCATTTCTGTACAAACCTGGATGCAAATAATTACCAGTGAAATTCAAGCAGCGCTAATTTTGCTTGCCAACAATTATGAGAAAGTTTCTGTGGCATCTCAAACCTGGGAGCAGCACCTTCTTGCTCAGATACACCTACTTCTAACTTCCCTGCATAACCATGCCCCTTACTGCATTATCCCCTCATCCCCAAACATCAAGTCTCTTGGAGAGCTACTGAACTTATGACCTCAAATGCCTGAGATCTCAAAAGCATCTCACATGACTTAAAAAAACTTAGGATCCTAAAAACAATACCATTTAGCAGCTTCTGCCAAGTATTTAGTTTTTACTGCAACCTCTCACACTACATTCTCCAGGTAGGGTGTTGACTAAACAAATTACAACAATGCTCCTAAAACACTAAGTACACCTTCTGTAGTTGTAACCAGCACTTCAGAGTAGATAACTTTATTTGATGTTAAAAATGACAACCTGTAGGTTTTTTTTACAAAATGTGCTATAAAGCATCACCAGCAATAACGAATTTTAGCCGATTTTTCTCCTCATCCGCAATTATTGAGCACAGCCAGATGTAAAAGCCTTTAGATATAGTCCCCTATATTTACTACTCTAAATCAAAATTAACTTATCAAGCACTTCATTTATCAATTGAAGAAAGGATATGGGCAAACATATTCTGAAATGCCACCAGGTATCTGAGAAAACTCTCAACACTGAACAGAAGCATGGACTGACATCTTTCTAAAGCAAAGAACCTCCTTTTACTCCAACACAATTTACTGAAGTCAATTTTTCATACTAAAAAGCAGATTACGTGCATTTGAGATCAACCCAGAACAGCAGCCTGGCCTAAAATTCTTGAAAATATCACTTTCGTTGTTTCCAACATTTTTCAGGAAAGCTAACAGGGCAACATCTACGAGATGCAAAAATCTTGCCATTTCTATGAGTCAGAATACAAAACCTTTCCTTAGCAAAACATAATGAGCGCAGAAAAGGATTCTTAAGATTTACAATAATAAGTTCAGGAAAAGAAAAATAAAGCCTTACCTTACTACATCATCAATGTTGTTCCGGTATACTCCTTCAAGCCTCTCTGCAGGAAAACCCATAGCAATTATGTTTGGATAAATATCTGAATATGCAAGTTATGGAAACATTTGTAAAGCATATGAAATTTCTACAATAGCATTAAATAGACATTAATCAAATGTTTAACTGTATCAAAGTCAGAGCAACTCCGACCAACTCCCATATGTGAACAACTCAGCTTTATATATGCAGTACTAAGGAACCTTTTCCAAAAAAGGGGGGGGAGGGAATCAGGAGAGAAACTTCTGAAAACATGGTACTTTGACCACAGCCACTATAACAGAAATCTCATTACATCTCAAACAGATAACTTATTAGAAGTCTATGCTATTGGGCAACTGATGGTTAACATCCATTAGGAAGCCAATCCACTAGAAAAGCAGAGTCAAGTAATCCACTTCTATCACACATCATCTCACTAGAATCACATAGATGCTACATACCGGTCTTTTTCTACAGTTTGAGTGGTATATTAAATCCAATAGAAAACTATTAAAACAGTCTCATGTGACTAAATTGCAAGATGTTGCAAATTAAAACTGATGTTCAAGTCCCCAGTAATCCCAAAATAGGTATACCACACAAAACAGCAAAACAAACAAAAAAGTGCATTTCAGGCATGCAAGGCTACATAAACACTAATGTTTTTATCACTTTCTATGATTTCTACATAACAGACCACTACAGCAGCTGCTAAGGTAGCTCTGAATGCCTAAATGTAAGATATGGCATTAGATGGGAATGTACAGATCTGAAAAGGATCGTATATCTTGTTTATTAAAAAAAAAAAACACACTTACGGAAAAATATTCTAGTTTCTTATTCTGAACTACCTGTAATTCACTTGCCAAAAGCAACCTGATATAAAGAACTTAGGAAAAGTACCTCCTAGCAAAAACAAATTAGCTAATGAGAAAAAGGCCAAATAAGAAAATTGTAAGTTTACATCTAGAGCCAATGTAGTAAAGAATTCACAGCAAATTGCTAGAAAATTACTGATATTTATTTTCCTGGTGGTGTAATGATATAGGGATTTTTATTTTTTTAAACAGAACTCAAGAAAAGAAAGTACTCCCAAGTTTTAAGCATTATTAGAAATAATATAGTGAAGAAGCTTCACTGAAAAGCAAAACAGAAATGAAACTAGCAGCTCAAAAACAGACCATACCCTACCGCATTAACATACTCCTCCTCAAACTAATTTTAGAAGGCGTAAGAACAAAGCATGATATGATTGAAGTTGGCCCTGCTTTAAACAAGGGGGCTGAAACAGGTGATTTCCAGAGGTCCCTTTCAACCTAAATTATTCCACAATTCTAAGAATTGTTTTTATTTTTATGGTTAAAATATAACAAAGCTTCAAAGAGTAATCATCAGACTGGAAGACATTGCAGCAGCTTCCAAGATATTAATATTCCAGTTACTTGTACACAAACAAGAGCCTGGAGTAGGATACAAACTACCTTACTCCATCCTTGCAGAATTCCCACAAGCCTAAGTACTTGCAGGGAAGCAGGATGGACCAAGCTCTGCATATTTAACTAGAAGACTTAAGAAAAACATTAAGAACTGAATACATGGAAATAATGTTTTCTACTCTCAAAAAAAGAATTAGCATTTACTATGTTGTAATCCAAGTATTAATAGACATTGGTCTGCTTGGACTATTCAAAAGATGATTTATGTAGACAATAAGAAAAATACGAAACCTTTTGAGAAATCCAAATAAATATCTGTAGCTGCCTTAAATACAGACACTGAAAGGGGTTCACATCTGGTTTCCAATTTATTCTGTACTTGCCCAAACCCTCATTAAGTTGCTTAACTTTCAGAGTTTGTGGTAACTTCAGATACTATCAAATCACATAAGTCTTAAACTTTGAACTTCACTCTGAACATATTTTACTCCGCAAGCAGGCCACACCTCTTTGTTAAATTAACAAAAGGCGCTATATAATTAGCAATGTATTTACTATTTTATCAGTTACTACTTGCCATAAGCAGAAGAAACTGGTTATAAATCATGTGCACCTGCCCTATGCCTATTAACAGTGAATTCACTGACTATCAGCTAGCACACCCCATTACTCCCTCCTCATTCCTGATTTCAACCTGATTTCTACCTACTGCCAGTTCTAGCATTTATACTCAAAAGCACCTCCTTTTGCATCCTGCTCTGAGCAGCAGGGCTATATAAATTACCATAGCAAAATAATCCAGTATATTAGCCTGCTTTCCACAGCACTTCTCCATAGAAGTGTCTTCTAGCGTTCATGCTAGCAACAGGGGTAAAATAAATTAATTTTGACACACCACATCAGAACAAAACTCAGTTTCAACTATAGTATGAGACAGACGCCCAAACTTCACCAAATTACCATGTAACTTGCTCAACTTTATATTCACAATTGTGAGCTTTACTACATATTTTTTCACATGTTTCAGCCTGCAGTTTATGTTCAGATGCTTTTCTTCTGCTGTTGGCTTTTCCTCTCCGAGAGTCTAAGAAACAAGATACTTTCCAGGATTCCCAGCTGGTGCAAGATGGAAGCGAAGCAGACAGACACCCCAATCAAAGGGAACAGAACATCTTAACAGCAGCGTCTCCAGTTTGCAGGCTCACAGACTTGTCCAAACACCAAAGCCTCAAAACACGCAGGCAGAGAGAGATAAAAATTTCCAAAATAACCAGCGCGGTCTCACGCTTTTGGAAAGTGCGATCCCCTTTTGGCTCCCGCATCTCATGTGACCCCTCTCCCCTCCCTCGCTCCTCAAGGGCAATGCACGAGCAGTACATGCACAGCTCACATGCATTTCTTTTAAATAGGAGCAAGCCAGCAGAATTGAATGCTTAAGCTTAATCGTGCATCATCACAGGTGCATTTTTAAACCCTGAGCTGGTATTGCAAAAGGTGTTCCACAATATGCCAGTAAGTAAAGAAAATGGAAAAAAGACTTTAGGGTAGGGGAAGGGGGAGAGTATGAATCAATTTACTGATGCTGATTCAATAAAAGTGTTGTATGCTCTGGGGTTTTGCAACCTGACAGCACAAAAACTGAAGTGTTGCCGAAAAACAAATATCCAACAGCGAGCTGGGGGGGGGCGGGGCTGTTTTTAGAAAAACGATTGCTTTTTAAACAGGCAAGCCAATTTCTCTACCACCTAAATATAAGCATCCTGAAGTACCTTACTTATTATCTCAAAGTATTACACTGGAATGCAATTCACATGCCACTGCTGACTCACTCTTCTGTCTGCAACAGATCTGGTGTTAAAGGACACCGGCCACGGCAAGCAAACGACACCCTTCCACAGCACGCGTGCGAGGCTCCAGGCTTCACGCGCACTGAACAAAAGCAAGCGACAACTATGACAAATGCATTTGTATTGCTGGTGAAGATCATTTTATGTCTTTTTAATATATGCTTCTGACAAGCATGCTGAAGAAGCATGTTGATTTGAAACTCTTTTTTGGTTCAAGCAACTGAAGAATGCCTTTTGCTTTAAGGAGCAATGCAAGATGGAAGAACAGAGTGGAAGTGCTGTTGCTGTTTGCACAGATCATCTAAATCTCTGACCAGGAATAGCAGTTTTGTCGCTTAATTGAAAAAGCTGCCATAAAACCCAAGCTCTTCCACCCTTTCCTCTCCTGTGAAAAGGTGCCCTAAGATCTGCAGCAAGTGAAGGTGATGGTTCTTACTGCATCGGTATTAGCTTGCTTTTTTCCTGATGTTGAGGAATGAAACAGTCCTCCTCAGGGACAGCCTGCAACCACTGCACAGAAGGGTATGGAGCCAAGACAGTTACGGGAGCAACCATCCACTGAGCATCATCTTCAGCAAGTTCGTCTATCACCAGCCATGATCAATGGTTCAGAGACACTGCTTTTCACACTTCAGTTAATTTAACATTGATTTCCAAAGCTGAAATTAAGATATTCACTACCAAGACGAGATTTCTTACAAAGGAGCTTGGAAGCTGGGCTTACATTCAAAGCAAGACTTCTGAGTCATCATCAAATTGGTAACGATACTGATAATTTTAGAAATCTGGAAGAACTGATGATTTAAAACGTGCAACAAGTTCATTACCAATTCCAAGCTTTTTTTTTTTAGACAGGCAAATGAAAATGGAAAAAGCCTCAGCCATTTATTGAGGCAGTTCTACAACACATGCAAAACAAAGTTAACCAAACTGTCCTAACTACCAAAATTTGAAATGGGCTTTCTAAAAAACATAAAATAAACCCTGCCACATTTTGCCGAAGTAGCTCTTTCCTAAGAAACCCATTCCCAGAAATGGTTTCAACAGTTTTTAAAGCACTTATTCCTTTCTCAATCTTGTAAACATGGAGGCTGGGATTTTAGATAGTGATCATAATAAAAAAATAGAGACAGACTCATGATACACAACAGCAAAGCACTAAAATACCATTCTCTACTCAAGTTCATAATTCTTACTAACTACAAAACTTCAGCTTTCAAATGAAGATGACACTAAGCTATACCCAAGGAACCTTAAAATGAAAGCACCCAATAATTTGCTAAGTTACCAAATGCCACAACTAAAAAGCGATGCTTCGTCAACATTGAAAACATACCAAAGCAAATAATCCATATGCCACTTCACAAACGCCTTTGCTTTAACGCTGCTCGTAGATTTAACAAAACACTCTTCTTAAAGCCTAAAAGCATTCCCACATGCTAAAGATGATAGTCTTTCCAGTTGCTATGAGAAAAATCCTGTATCATTATGCAAATCAGCAGTTATAATCACTTTCAAAAATAGCTGTCTATATATTCACATTATGCCAAGATCAAATTAAAGAATATGCAATATACACTTGAAATTTTACATACATATACATATAAAAGCAAATTACTTATGTTGGTCCTGTAACTGACTCTTCTCACAAATTCAGCCTTTTTTTCTAATAATGGAAGGTGGCCAAATAAGCATACCAAAATATTTACCAATTCATAGGTTCTTAAACAGTCACAAGAAAGTTGCAAAAATAGACAGCTATAGCCTTTCCT